CATTAGACGGGCTGGGTGGGGGTGGGGGTGGGGGTGGGGCGCTCTAGAACGACTTGGCTTTGTTTTCCTCCTCTGGCGTCAGGCGCTCTGGCCTTTTCTCCTCTCCACCGGCTCCAGGAGTCCAGCCTCCTCCCCCTCCTCTTCCCCCACTTCTATTTCAAGCTCTCCTTGGCTATTTATAGCTACGTCCGCCAATTGCGTCAGGCTGAGTCTGGCTTAGGCCGGCCCCATGCCGAGGGTGCCACCACACCTGTGCGGGCAGCTACCTGGCCTGCTGGGTCCCAGGCGGCCAGGTGTGCGTGCGTGTGTGTGTGCGCGCACGCGCGCGCGCGCACGCACCAGGTTGGGCGGATGGCCCCCTGGCTGGAGCTCAGATGTGGGCTAGGAGCCGAAGGAGCACAGGAGCTGGGTTAGGGGTGGTAGCCCCCTAATTCAAGACCGAGGTGGGGGGGAGGAGCTTTCCCTTCTGTTCCTGGAAGTACCTGCTGGGCTGCCCTGAGGAGCTTTTCGGCTCTGGTTTCATCTTGGGAATTTGCAAAGAGCCAGGGAGAAGGCTTCCACAGGGCTGCACAGGGCTGCCCACGGTGGCCTCAGCCTCTTCCCTCTGGAATGAACCGAACCCTATCTGCTCTGGTCCTATCCGACTTCAGGGAGCCCCTCTCCACCCACCCCTTTCCTTCCTGAGACCACCCCACTCCCAGCCCCTCTCCTGGTGTTCCCCAGGAACGGGGTCATTGGAAGATTTGCTCAGCTTTGAAAGGCTGGAGGGGCTCCCCAGGCACCTGCTTAGTTGGCAAAGCCCCACCCCTGGCATCACCCTGCCCTGCGGCCTGTGTGTGTTTGGGCAAGGGAGCATGTTTGTCTTTCCTCCAGCCCACTAAGACCTCCTTGGGGCCCTGGGCATTGGCTCCCACATCTCAGCCTGGGGCCCTCCTGCCTGACCAAGACTAGCTCTGGTTCTGTCCTCGGGCCAGTGCTTTCTGTCCTTCCCCTCACCTCCATTAAGCTACCCCCACCATCGTCAGGGCCTGGCCACTCCTTCAGAGAGGACCCTGTGTCTGGAGACCCCCCCCCCCCAACCCCAGGGCCAGGAACAGATCCTGGGACTGCCTCGCCAGCCTAGACCCTCATCCCCTGACAAAAGGATAAAGGTCACTCTGGGGGGTCGGCTGGAGGAGCCCTGTCCACTGGGAGGGAGAACTTTGCTTCCCGCGTGCTCATGCTAGCTACATAAGGCACCCCCTATAAGCTCCACTAGCAGTCAGCCTGTTTGTCCAGGACCCACCAGCCTCTGTGCCCCTTTCTGGAGAATGGGACACCCAACTGCCAGTTTGCATTTTTTTTTTCAGACCCTTGGGGACTCCGTGGCTTCTCAGGAAGGACCACTTTTCTGTGAACAGATGACCCCCTCCACCCCCCTTCAGTCCAGAGCCAGACACTCCCCCTCCCATTAGACCTCACCTTGGCCAGAGGTAGTCAGCTTCTGCCTGAACCCCACGGCACGCAGTCCCACCTCCAAGGTTTCTCTGTGGCCCTGGCTGCAGTATCCCCTTCACTACACATGCCCCAGCCCTCCAAATCCAACCTGGCCTTCAGAGGCCAACCCCCTCGCCGCAAGCCTTCCCGAGAACCAGTGGCTTCATGCTTCCCCAAATCTAAGCCCCTTTATGTCTGAGCCTCAGAAGCACTGTCTGAGCTGGAAGGGGCCTGAGGGGCCACTGAGGCTGGCCCCTTCCAGGACACCTCCAGGGACTGCTCAGCTGGGATGAGCAGAGCCCAGGGGTCAGGAACTGAGCCCACCCCAACTCTGCCCCGACTCTGAGGGACGTTGGAAAGTCATTTCCCCTTGTTAAAAAATAAAATTCAGCTGGATAAATTTGAAGATCTAATTGGCTTTATTCAAAGACTCATGAATTGGGCAGCATCCCACCTAGCAGGTAGAAAGAAGCTCTGGGGAGTTGTACAGAATGGAAGGTTTTTATAGGCAAAAGGGTTGCGGGGGACAAAGAAGCTGAAAGTGGACTGTTTCAGGAAGGTCACCTTCCCTCAGGGAAGGCAGGGATCTTATCCAGCAGATGACCTCACTGGTGCTGACCAGGAAATTCCAGACTGAGTCCAATCCTGGGAGAGGCTGAAACTGCAGTTAGGTTAGGTGTTAAGTCTTGGTTTGCTGGTGGGGGGCTTAGCAAAGATGACTCCATTCTGGGCCTATTGTCTCTCTTTCAGCACCTCCTTGGGCCTTGGAGAGGGCTGAACTGGGTCTCTGCAGTGGTGTCCAGCTCTGAGCCTGAGGTTTATACATTGAACAGTTACTGGTCATCTTCTGTACGCAGGACTGGGTGACCTACACAGTCCGGTGATAGGATGAAGGTAAGCACACGGCTGTAATATAAGGTAGACCAGCAGAAGTGCCCTATATGTTACTACTTACCCACCTTCTTTCCCTTCCTCCTCACCTTCCTCCCATTTACCCATCCGTCAACCTCCTGTCCACCCAGTCACCTACCCACCCAACCACTAACCCACGCAGCCAGCCTCCCATTTACTCATCTATCCACACATCTACACACTCAACTATCTACCCACCCATACAGCCATCTCATCCCCCCATCCATACACCGTTATTCACCTGTCCACTCCCTCATCACCCATCGGCCCAACCACTAACCCAGCCAGCCCTGGATGGTAAGTGCCTGACAATTAGTTTTTCTGATTGTTAATATAAGTGCCTGGCATTAATCTTTTGATTGCTGAGACAGTCACTTCGAAGACATCCATCTCAAACACGTTGCCAGCTACCCAACTAGATGGCGAGCCAGGCTGCCCCACCCATGCAGTTCTGCTCTAGAAGGTCCTGGGTGACCTGATAATCGACCACTCTAGAAACCCCAGCCCCCACTCCAACCCCCAAAAGTTAGAGACTGGGGTCCACGCTGCCTCCCTCTCTCCCTGCAACCTTGCTGTGCGGCCCCAGCTGTGCATATGCCCCCCCAGGACCTGTGAGTAATAAAGCTTCCTCAGAGCCCCCTGATGGTTCTTACTGAAGTGTGTCCTGTCATCACAGGAAGGACCACCAGGGCCCGTCCAGCCACAATGTAGGCCCCTGTGGGGAAATGCGTCTGGCGGCCCACCACCAGTAGTACGGACCCAGGGGAGGGCCTGGGCATCCCAGCATCACTAACCACAGGCCGAGACCCACACAGAACAACCCTTTATTGACCATGTACTCACCCATCCAAGACCCATCAAGAGCTTAAAGCTCTTGACCAAGGCGGGGCGGGGAGGGAGAGACAGAAGCAGGCAGGATGCCCGGTGTTTACCGAAGACACCTTGGGACAGCACCAGACCGTGTGGCCGAGAGCAGGTGGAGGTCTGCGCACCAGTGTGCAGGTCTGGCCTCACCACCTGCTTCCTTCAGCCCTCGGGCCAGTTGACCTCCAGGAGCCTGAGCAACTTAGTAGATGGCCTCCCCCCACCCCACGTGCATTCTTACACTGCCCCCCGGGTCCTTTGGCCTTCTGTGCCCCAGCTGGTCTTCCTGGGAGAGGCACCATCAGCCTGCGTCCTACGCTGCAGGGGCTCACATGCCTCGGAGTGGGAGGCACCACGGTGCTGCTTGAGACAGCCATCAGCTTTCTTCCAGTCCTGGGTTTTATGGACCCCAAGGGGCTGCCAGAGTTATAAATAGATGTTCTTAAGCTAAAAATAGCCTTGCTTTAGCGACAGCCCCATGCTTCTAGTTTCCGGCCTCTTGAGGGCTCCTAGGGATGCTGGATTCAAGGACCCTCCTCCTCCCGCAGTCCCTGAGAGGGGCCAGCTGAGCCCTTTCCCTGTCTCCTGCTTCCTCTTCTCTCCCAGCCTCCTGCAACACGCACATCCTGCACACGTGTGTGGGCACTCATGTGCACGCGCGCGCACATACACACACGCAGATCTGGCCTGCGTCCCTGGTTTGAGCTCCCTGCCACTTGGAACTAGGGAAGTGTCCCTAGGAAGAAGCAGGCCAAAGCTCCAAGAAGGCTCAGACCCCCTTGGAGGCCTTGCACCGCATTAGCCAGAGGGCCGTGGGGCTGAGGGCACAGATCTGCCCGGCAGCCCCCCTGGAGCCTGGGAGACCCGTTCCCAGGAAACGCCCGGATGTGTGGAGTCGTGCAGGCACACGGTGAGCTCAGCACGCAGTGAGCTCAGTACACAGGAGCCGTCGTTATAGTAACGGCCAGGGAGGCGTTGGAGTGACCCAGAGGAGTCACGTCTGAAGATCTGTCCCAGGAGAGCATTGCCTGAACGCTGCGAGCCGCGGCCGTCACCGCACTGGGCGGACGGAGCGCAACCCTGCCATCGGGGGGCTGCACGCTCGCGGCGGTCGGTGCAGATGCGCAGCCGCAGTCGGGCTGGCTGACTCCAGGGAGAGGAACCCCGGGGCTGGGGACAAAAGGGGGTGGGTCACCCCAGTACCTTCCACCAGATACCCTCGTGTGCCTTTGGTCCTTGTAGCACATGCATGGATTCTTTCAACGGATCATTTAAATAATTAAAAAGCTAGTTGCAGACATTCTGTAGCCAGACCCCCGTTTCCGGTGAAAGGGAAGGCAATGGTGTGGTGTGCTCGGGCTTGTGCCCACACATGCACACGGAGCCCTGCCGAGATGCAGCCAAGTGTTCCCGTGCTTATGCCCGGGGAAGTGGGTGAGGGGCAAAACGGCATTTTTATTGGACATAGTGGTAACTTTTTAAAAATTTCACTAGCAGGTAACAACAAACAAGGGTGTTCTACATTCTAGGATGCAGTGGGGCCTTCCTCACGCCGGGCCCTCCCCCTGCACAGTCCCCCGCCCTGCCCAACCTGCCCTCGGGGTCCCAGGGGCTGAGTCCTGGGGAAGTTGGTCTTGTGGGCCCAATGCCCCGGCCTCCTGGCCTCAGGAAGCCTCCGGGGCCGCTGCCCCACACTCTCCATTCCAGCCTCCCACCAGCCCGAAGAAAGAGACAGCCAGAGACATGGAGAAAACGTCCATCTTGGGATTTATTACAACACATTGTCTCCAAATACAAAAGAAGGGGACAGGACAGGGAGCAGAGTGTGGCCGCGCTGGGGGAGGGGTTCTGAGGCAGGAGCGGGACACCCAGTCCAGAGAGACTGGGAGCCATGCGGGGGACCTGCCACCTCCCCTCCGCTGGACTTCCCAGCAAATATTAGGAGGGGGCAGGGTCCATTCTGGGGCCACCCCCAATGCCAGGACGGGGGGGGGAGGGGGGTGGGGGAAGGGGAGGAGGGCTGAGAGACTTGGAGAGGGCTGGGGCCTGGCCCTGGCCCCACCTCAGGCAGTGTGTGGAATTGACCGGGGAGGGGCTTGTGCCAGGGCCTGGTCCCCCCGGGACAGGAGAGGGGGTGGCAGGGACAGGACCTCCCCCCACATTGCAGCTGCTCACTTTGGGGTGACCAGGGCCTCAAGAGCAAGAGCCCCCCACACTCCAAGACCGAAGTCACAAGAGATGCTGGCGGCCCTAGAGAAAGGGCAGAGGGCAGAGAGAAGAAAGGACCGGGGGCTGCGGGACCTGCCTCCAGAGTTCGGGGCCCAACCAGTGGCCCCAGACCACTGTCTCCTGGACAGCACAGGGGTGGGGCGCGGAGGTGGGGACCAGTGCATCCTCCACACCCAGGGTCATCTCAGAAACCCAACGCGATAGACAGACAGAAGGCAAGTTTACATAATCAATCATAATAATAATTAACCAATAATAAATACTTAAACCTCTAATCCATAGATTGCAAACACAACGATGATAGCTTATTTTCTTGGGGAACGGGGTGGGGACAGAGGGAACAGGAAGAGGACTTTTGCTTAAAGGAGGGATGACAGGTGCACAGGGCGGCAGGTCAACAGAACAAACGGAAGAAACAACCAGAGGGGCAGCTGCCCCGAGGACTCGGCCCCGCCCAGCCGCCCTCCTGCCAAGCCCCTGGCCTCTTCCCAAGGCGGCCAGCAACCCCCCCACACACTAGACTCTAGGACATCTGAAGGTTGGGGGACATCTACGCCTGCCTCCAAAAGCCATGGGTCCCAATGACCCAAGAAGGTGTGGGACGGGGGGCAGCTGGGGCTTTTTCCCTGCCTTTACTGCCAGGCTGGCCCACCTGGGCCCAAAAGCCACCTGGCATATCACCGTGAAGATCCCAGGGAGGCTGCAGAAGCGAGAGCTCCCCAGAAAAGGGCAGTGTGGGAGTGCTCTTCTCCAAGGACCCCGTGGGGCTGGGGGCAGGCATGGGGGACACCTGCATCTGCCCACATCAGGGGTCTTTATCTGTCTGGAGACGGCTCTCCCGAAGCTAAGGACCCCCATCCCCTGGAAGCGTAAGGGTCTGACAAGTGCTAATCACCCCCTCCCAATGCAAGGCAGCCAACTCCTCATGGAGGCCCTCCACCTGCAGGAACATACCTGAATTCCAAGTCTGGCCTGGGGCCTGGGGGCTGGCTGGGGGAAGAGCCCAGAACAAGACTCTAAATCCATCTGCCCTCTGGCCAGTGGAGCCAAAACTGGCTAGGCCAGCTCCTCCCGTCTGATACCCCCAGGGGCTGAGCCCCTCTCCTGTTGTTCCCCCCCCACCTGGCAGGTGGTGCTAGGCAGCACCCGCAAAGTGGAGTTGAGGGGGGCAGCATCCATGGAACAGCCTTGCTGAACCCGTGAAACTGGACATGGGCTCAGGCAGGAGTGGGGGGCATCCTACCTCTGTCCCTGCCCTGGGGACCCACATCATCTGACACTCAAGAGCGCCGTTCACCAAGCCCCTATCCTGTTCTACCCCCAGCCTGTCCAAAAACCCTAGCCTCTCTAGGCCCAATGCCAGTCAACACCGACCAGGCAACGGGGAGGGGTTGGGGGGGCGGCAGGGGGGCAGGTAGTGGGGGTGCCTCCGGCTGGCAGAGCTGCCTCAGTCACGCCCCAGCTCCTGGGACACTTCCCCCACCTAGACTTTGGTGCAGAGCCCGAGAAAAGAGCAGAGGAGGAGGAGTGCAGAAGAGGGGGCAGGGAGGGACAGGGAGGTTCTGCGGCTCAGTTTGTGGCAAAGTTTTTTTTCTCCTTTTTTCCCCTTTTTCTTATGTAAAAAGTGCACGAAAGCTCGGCAGCCTCTTTGCAACGGTCAGCAGTGTTTCCTGGGAGGGGGGGGCGGGGAGGGGACCCCAGGCCTGGCACCCCAGCTTGGGACTGAAGGTGGCCTCATATTGCTTAGAAACGAGTGTTTCAGTTTAAATACCAGACAGTAAAAATAGAGCTCCGAGGACCGCCCGCACTGTTGCCAAATCATTGCCAGAATGAACAGCTTAAATAAATAAAAAATCGAAATATTTACTTCTCGATAAAAATCGCAGTAAAACCATTTACCTTTCTTTGCATTATATATAATATATATTTATAGTGGGCCCGGCTGCTGGCGGCCCAGACCAGGGAGCCGAGGGCGGCGGAGCGCCGGGCCCTGGGTCCCCGGCCGCCGTCAGGACACCTCGATGACCTCCACGCTGCCCGAGAAGCTGGCCTGCTTTCCCAGGGCAGCCAGCTCCTCGCCGCGCGCGCGCCCCTCCACCATGCCCTCCTCGAACTCCATCTGGCAGCTTCGGCGCTTGAACTGTGTCTCCGGGGCCGCCGTTTCGTCCGGCCAGCCGGTCCGCGCGTCCCGGGCCTCGGCCCTGGCCGCCTCCCGCCGCCGCAGGTCGCCGCCCCCTGCGCCCTGCGCGCCTGCCCGGCCGAAGGGTGCAAACCGCGCGCCGCCCGCGCCCTGCGCGCCCTCCGGGCTGAAGCACCAGGGCCCGTCGGGCGACGGCGTGCCCGGAGAGTCGAGCGGCGGCGCCCAGCTCCCGGGGCCGACCGGCTGGCCGGGGCCAGGCAGCCCAGGTGCCGACAGGGCCGAAAGGCCGAGCCGCGGAGTCTGCCGGGAGGCATCGCCGAAGTTCAGGCCGAGGCCGAGGCCGGGCGCCGGGGAGCGTGCCGGGGAGCCGGCGGGAGGCCGGGGCCGCCGGCGGAGGCGCGGGCGCGTCTCCGGCGCCGCGTCCGGGCTGTCGGCGCCCGGCGAGGGCAGGCCCAGCGCGCCCCCGGACGGGCTGTCCAGTTTGCAGAGCTTGGGGGCCTCCCCGGGGTCGGGGGGCCCCGGGTCGTCGGGCCGCCGGCTGGGGGCGTAGGCCGACTTGATGTCCAGTGAGAAGGAGCGCTTCAGGCGGTTGGTGTCCTGGAGGCGGTCGGAGGAGAGGTGCAGGCCACGCAGGCCCTGCTGCAGCGCGCTGGTGGCGGGCGCCGCGGAGGGCGCGGGCAGCTCCCCGCCGGCGGCGGGCGCGCCCTCCCTGGCTGCACTGGCCGCCGCGCTCCCGGTGGCAGCGCTCTCTGAGGTAGGTGGTGGCGGCGGCGGCAGTGGGGCGGCAGGGCCCGGGAGGGGCTCGGGCGTCCCCGGGTGGGGCGCCCCGTCACCCTGCAGGGCAGCCAGCAGCTTCAGGCTGCGCTCATACTCCAGCAGCTGGCCCAGGAAGTTGAAGTTGGGCGAAATGGATGGGCGCCGGTCCTTCACGAACCTGGGGGCGGGGGGCTGCTTCGAGACGGGGCTTCCTGCCAGGCGGGGCTGCCCGCCTGGCCCCCCCTGCTCCTCCTGCTCCCCCTGCTCCCCCTGCTCCCCCCTGCCCATGCTTGGGCACACAGCTGATGTGCAGACCCACCCCGGAGTGCTGGAGCCCGGCTCAGGCGTCTCCCTCCCGGGCCAGGGCCATTCCGCTGCTCGTGGGTGGACAGGGGGCGGGGAAGGGCCGGTTCCAGCCTTAAACTTCAGGGCCCAGGAAGAAAGGAGAGGCTACCTGTAGGCGTCATCGGAGGACATGCCCATGGTCTTCATGATGTAAGCGATGGCGATGGTGGCCGAGCGGGAGATGCCAGCCAGACAGTGGACGATGACTTGGCAGCTGGACAGCTTAGCTTTATCTGGAGGCAGGGCCACCGGGGCCGGTGAGGGCTCAGGGTGCCGGCGCTTCCCTAACCCAGGCAGGGGACCTCACCGGCCCTACCGCCAACGATCCCAGTCCCATCTCAGGCCCAAGCACCGGGGTCGCAGTGCTTCTCCCCAGCGTCCTGCCCGCCCTCCTACAGGAGACCCCCACCCCTGCCCCGCCCCTCACCGATGAACTCGATGGACTTGTCCAGCCAGGGCAGCAGCTTCTCGCAGTAGTTGTCGTTGATGGGAATGCGCATGAAGCGGCTCTCACAGATGAAGTCCGGCTTGGGGCAAGAGTTGCTGGCGTTGAGGACATAGCTTATTCCGTTCTGGGTCATCAGGTCCTGGAGGGACGGGAGGACAGGCTGCACAGGGGTGCCCTGGAGGTGGAAGCCCCTCCCACTTCCACCCTGGAGCTCAGAGCCTCTAGCGGGGGGGTGGGGGGGAGGGTGGGGGATGGGGATGCTGGTATCGGGCAAGCGCCACCCACAGCCTGAGGTAGGCTCCCAGGAATGTTATGGCTGCCTGGGCGGTGGCTTTACCCTCTTCCCTCATCACAATTTTAAAACACGGGATTCTTTCAGTGCTGGCCAGGGGCCCAGTGACATCAGCAGTGTGGCATGTGGGCTCCGCCGCCTAAGGGGCTGGGAGCTGCTTCTCCACCCAGCCCTGCTCCGGTCCTGCCCCTGTCCCCTCACGTCCTCGGGCCCCCAACCCAGGCTTCTCCCACACGTTTATCCATCCCCTCATTGGCTTCCAGCTCCCTTCTCCCCACCCCCCCAAACCAGCCCAGGAGCGGCATCTGAGCTCCTGCCTCCGCCCCCCTCCCCCTGCCAGCGGCCAAAGCCCCAGCTGTGCACACACCTTGTTCAGGACATCTTTCTGAGAGCCCAGGTAGAGGTGAGGCAGGATGCGGGTCAGGCCCACACTGGGCACAGGCAGGCAGGGCTGGGAGAGGCTCATGGGCAGCAGGGCAGCAGGCTTACCCTCACAGAGGCCAGGGAAGCAGGAGGAGAAGGTGGCAAAGCCCCCTGCAGGAGGAGGAGCAGAGGAGACGTGAGTCAGGCGGTTGGCTGGCTGGGGCACAAGAAAGAGTCCAGGGCACCCGACCACCCCTACACTCTGGCCACAGCCTGGACCCCCAGCCCAGCGTGATGCCAGGGGGTGAGCCTCTGGCCTGAGCACCTGCAGTCAGCGCTGGGTGCCGGAGGGCTGCTCTCACCAAGTCGAGGCGCGTGCTGTGCTCATATAAGGCCTGCCCCTACACCCACATTCCTCCCCAGGCTAATTAGGAGCTGGTCCTGCTGAGGACGCCGCTGTGATGCCCATAAATGTGGGGTCGAGGCTGCGGGCCGGCCTTGCACGTGCAGGACCCAGGCAGGGGTGGGTTCCGACGCCACGGAAGGCTCCTGTTGAGGGTGTGGATCTTCTGTGCCGGTGGCCAGGGGCCAGCCTGGGCCTTCCTGCCTCTCCCCCTGGGCTGATGCAATCCCTCCCTGACTCTAGTTGGCTGGGAGCCCCTGGCCAAGCGTGGGTGCCAGGACCAGGAGGCAAGGGCTTCTGAGGGGCCCTCCTGCCCCTGGGCATGACATCACCTACTGGAATTGGCACAGCCCTGCAGGGGCACCTGTGCTCTACTTAGGGCTCCCTTCTGCCCAGAGGACAGCACCAGAGGATGGGCTAAGAGCTGGGAACGCCGGGGATGGTGAGCAAGCAGGGCATGCAGCGGGCACACGTTCTACACGTGGTGGTGTGTGCCCACTGCCTTCCCTGTACACCCAAGTCCTGGGCCACAGGTCGGTGGAAGGAGCCCCTCCGCTGGCCTCAAAGACCCCAGTGGGAATCCCTAGCCCAGCTCTGACTCAGTGAGTGACCACGGGCAGAGCTCATTACACCCCTAGCCTGTTTCAGCATCCTGCCTGCCACACAGCACAGCGTGGTCTCAAAGGAGACAGGGGCCATGAAGACACACTGAGCGCTAACCTGCCCACAGCCAGGCGGCTGGGTGACAGCCAGTCCCTGCTAGGGTGAGGTGACACTCCCTGGTGGCCACCCTGGGCCTAACCACACTTTTGGGGGCACGAGGCCTGTGGACAATCCCTGCCCTCAGTGGACTGATCTATTACAGAGTTCAACTAGATGGAGGCCTACCCTAGCGCACCGGAGGAGGCAGGGGAGTGAGGCGGGGTCCCAGGCCACGAGACCCCCAGTGCTCTTTCCTGGTCTGCAGAAACAGCTGGGGCCAGAGACCTGGCTGATTTCCCAGGACACAGATGCCTGGTACCCTCAGCCTTCACCCCTGGCCCAGCTCAATGGCCAGTTTGTACAAACCCCCAACCAGAGTGCCTGCCATGTGCATTCCTTGTGCCCCCAATGACAGCTTGCCTTTGGCGGGGGGCATGGTGATGGGGGACCTCCAGGCTCAGGGAGTGGAGGCACCAGCCTTGGAGGAGAAGCTGTCCCTACCCTGGCAACCTGCGGCTGGACAGGGAGAAGTGGCTGACTATCAGCATCGCTGACAACACAGCTCACAGATGAAAGCGACCTGGGTGCTGGGGCTGGGCTCCTGTTTACTGGCCAGAGCCAGGGGTCCCCTGGATGTTCCTGATGGAGGACAACACCCCCCACCCCAGGAGACATAAGATCTGCAGGATCTCTGCAAAGACTCATCTTTACCATATACCTCCCATGCTCTCTGGGGGCGTCGCCTAAGCTGAGGGGTGGGGGGCTGTATTCCACCAGGAACTTCCCCCACAAAGGGGGGTCTCTGGACAGGAGTGGTCCTGCCAGTTTTGACTGCAATCCCTCAGGTAAAGCCCCACAGGGCTGCCCCCCCACTCCCCGCAGAGCCAAGCAGCTTGTGGGGACCCCCACAAGCCCCCTATGGATGCCAAGTGCAGCAGAGCCGGAGGCCCCGCCCCTCCAGCGATTTCAGGACCCCCCCCCCCCCCCACCAGGCTCTGGGTTACAGGAGAGGACCACCCTGGGTTGAATCAGTGGCAGCAGGCCTGGACCCTCTGCAGGTAGTGGCACTCTTCGCAGAGGGGAGGCGCCCCCATCCCCCAGGCATCCCCAAGGGCACCTTCCTTCAGGCGGGATACCAACCTCCCCCTGCCTCACGGTTTCCCAGCTCGCTGCGCCGCACAATGGAATCCCGGATTCGCACAAAAGCTCATGCCCAGGACGCACCGACTGCACCGACTCCACGGGCACCGGGCCCGGCCACTGCCCCCGCCCGCAGCTCCCACCAGGCGCTCTCCGGCCCCCATGCGCGCGGCGCGCCCCGCAACCCCCCTGCGCCGCCGCGGTCCCCGCGCCCCGGGCAGGGTCCGCACCTGCCCACCCTCCCTCCGCGTACCCTTCGCGCACCCTCCGCGTAGGGGCCGCTCCCGCCGCGGTCTCTGGCCAGGGTCCGAGGGCGGCGCGTGCGGGGTCGGGCCGCGGGGGCGCACCGACCCGGCGCCGCGACATCACCAGCCCGCATTCCGCAGCAACGCGCACCCGGGCTAGGGCCGCCCGCCGCTTAAAGGGCCAGGCTCCCTTTCCGTCCCCGCCCCGCTGGACGTCACCGCCAAGCAGCTGGGGGGGGGGGCAGGGGGGGAGCAGCGGTCACGGCAGCCGGTTCCGGACCCCAGCGCGCCTGCCCCACTCTGCCCTCTCCTGCTTCCGCGAGCCTCCCCTGTCACCGAGAGAGATCTCCCTGTCCTCCAGCCGCGACATCGTCCTGGCGCTCCTCAGCCCCACCCACCGAGGGGTGGGGTCCTCCCTTTCTGGCCTCCGCTGGGCCCCCTCCCCCTGTGCTAGGGATCCTGGAAAGTCACCTCCCGTTTCTGGCGGGGCAGCATCCCTCTGTCCCACTCAGCCTCGCCTTCCCATGCTCACTGGTTCAGGGGCCGTGCTCGCCTCAGGGTGGGTGCTGTGGGCCAGGCTCCCAGGAGGCCGCGAGTCTGGGTCCTGATTTGGTCCTGATTTGGTCCTGATTTGGAGCTCTTCTCATACCGTGGTGGGTCATGACTTCTGCCTGGCTTGGCCCTCAGGGAAACGGGGGCAAATACTCTAACCTCTCAGGGAGGGGCAGGCAGGGGAGAAAGGGCACGCGGCAGCCCCAAGAGTTTAGCGAACCAAGTGGGCACGGCCAGGTCCCAGGTGAGCCCTCCTGGCACATCCGAGCCTAGGCCTGCCCCACTGCATGCTGGGTGAGGAGCCCCAGCCTCCAGAGGAGACACACATTAGAGGTCCTGGGCTTTCCTGGCAGCCTTGGGGTAAGGAAGGGTGCTGCTCTGGGACCTGTTTCTCAGACTCTCAGAAGGCCTGGTGGCCCCCACTCCTGAGTAGAGACTATGCGCACGCACACACACACCACCCACACTGACACGTGCACGCGTGAACACACGCATACTGGGGTTCCCAGCTGGGCTCCTGTTCTGCCCAGGACACCCGTTAAGAAGCCCAGAGCCTCTGTCCTCTCTCCCTCTTCTCCCTATCCGCTCAGCCCCCAAATTGAGCCCAGGGGGCAGTGGCTGAATCAGAGAGTCTGCAATTCTGTGGCCTCGGGTTCTCAGAGTTCACACACATGCACACAAACCCCACATCCCACCACACAAGCAAGCACGGATCACCAGCTTCCCAGAGCTGTGCATAGATGCACAGATGCCCTCTGACCGCCTAGACCCAGGCACGCGTGTAGATGGCAGCACGCACACCTGCACACGATGTGGACCCACCAGGAGGCATCCCAGGGGCGGTGGGGAAGGTCCATCCTCCCAATGGTGGGATCCCGGTGCCCACGGACCACCGCATGGGGTGTCTGCACATAAGGGGCTGCTCAGGGCAGACATGGTGAGTGTACAGAAGTGTCCTATCGGCGGTGGGGTGGGGGGGCTGACACCCTCTTCAGCCCTCTCCATCCTCTGCCCACCTGCCATGGCCCCTGGCAGGAGCACCCACAGAGGCCTCAGACCTGGGCAGGGAGGGTGTACAGCCCTGGGACAGGCCAGCTCAACCCAGCCCTGGGACCTGGGCCACCTCTGGGAGGTGGGTTCTACAGAAGTGCCTCAGCCCCTGCCAGCAGGAGGAAGGAATCATCAAGAACCAGGGTGGGGCCTGTGTGTGTGTGTGCGTGTGTGCAGGTGTGTGTATGGGGGGCTTCCCAGCCTCCAGGCTGCCTGGGCTGCTTTTGGGGAACAGGAAGCCCTACAGGGATCTCTGCTGGCCCCCAGGCAGGGGTCGGGCATCCTGTGCTGACTGCAGCATTCAGAGGGACTCCCTGTCCGACCAGTTCTGCTCGGATTGGAGTTTGCAGAGGATGGGGGCTATGTCTCCTCTCTCAGACAGCTAGAGGGGCAGAGACACATCTTTGCCTAGATCCCTTCCCTCCTCCCCTGCCACGAATGCATTTAGGGGTTTCTTCCTGCCTACTGCTTCACCTGCTAGTGGTGGGGTAGGCCCATGGTGGAGGGGGTTCTGGAGTGTGGGGGCCCGGGGGAGGGAACAATGGAGCCTTGGGGAACTCCAGTTACTGAGAGAGCACCCCATCCCCCAACACCACCCCAGTAGCTGCTGGTCTCTGGGCTCAGAGAAGAGAGCAGAGTTGGACCCAGAAGCTGACTCCCCAGATGCCCCCACCCCCCCATAGCTAAGCTCACAGTGAGGAGAGAGAGGAAGGAAGGAGAGGGCGCCCCAGAGCCCCCTGGCCCGGGTCTATCTGGAGCTCACCCGTGAGGATGGCCACGCTGTCGAAGCAGCCGTCCAGCTTGCTGAGCAGGATGGAGAGGAAGCTGTCCGCAGCCAGCACGCTGGCGTCCCGTGTGCTCTGGTCATAGACCACCACGTCCTGCGGCTCTGTGGCCTCCACCTGGAGGCCGTGAGGGCAGAGGTCAGGGCACCGCTGGGCACCTGCCAGATCCCCCATCCCCTGCTGCCACCCACTACTACTGGTCAGGCTGCGGCAGGGGAGGGGCTTCGGCCCCCTGGCTGCATGGAGGGGAGGGGCGGGCTCTCACCCGCCCACCCGCCTCAGAGCCCACACCTGGACGGGTTTGGATGCCACAGCCCCACAGGCAAGCCCTCAGAGCGGGCAGAAACAGGGGCACGCTCCTCCTAACGCCACGGCCTCACGCCCAGACCTGTGCTAAGGGAACAGATGTGATGGGCACGCACCAGGGGCCGGGCCCCCGTGGAGGAGACGCAGGTGAATGTAACAGGGTCCTTGGGCGCACGCACGGGTGGCCACGGTCCCAGGGATGTGCTGTCAGGGTGGCTGAGGCAAAGGGAAACCTGTCCCCTGGGCCACTGGGAGGCACATTTTGGGGCTTCTGAGGGTGGGGTGCCTTTGCGTCTGGGCAATTCCCCAGCCAGTGATGGGAAAAGTGCTGCAAGAGCCCTCCTTAATTCAGGAGGCAGCCAGAAGTTGGGGTTCCACTGCCCTCCTCCCATCCTGAATGCCCAGGCTTGGGACCAGATGCTGAGCAGCTTTTGCTCCCAGTGGCTAATGCCCTGCCCCCCAAGCACACTCAGCCCCTCAGCCAGCTGAGCCGCCAACCCTGGGCTGCATGATGTCACCAGCAGCCAATGGGATTGCGCTCTGGCAGGGAGTCCTCGCTGGGGGTGATTAATCACCGGATTCCCCTCACTGAGGCTGCAGGGAGCTGGTTCTGGCCTTGGCGGGGGCTGTGCCACCTGGGTCCTCTCACATCCAGTGCTGCTGGCACAGGGCCTGTGACCGAGACCCCTCCCAGCTCCGGGCTGCTGGCCATGTCACTCCCCCCACTGGGGGTGCCCCCACCTTCCCAGGCCACAGGGCCAGTGGTCCTTCCCAGTGCTGCACTTGATGCTCCTGGCTAACAGAGACAGGATTGTCCACTGCAGGTGACCTGGGACGTTTGGGGGGGAGGGGCACAGAAAGAATTCTGGGTCACTCAGAACTCTAGGGGAAAGAACTGGGAGGCTGGGCACATGACGGCTCAGCATAAGCCTCTTGGCCCCCCTTCCTGTCTTCCTCTGTGTTCTCACAGCACTCGGTGTGCGCCTGACCAGCTGCCATCCTGGTCCACTGCCCCTCTGTGCCCCCACCCCACCCCTGTGCCCCTCTCTGAGCCCTGGGCTGGGCCCCAGGGACACCGCCCAGTCTTACGTGGGGAGACCTCTCCTCGGGGGCTGAGTGAGGACCCAGACAGGGTCAGCAGGCTCTGGGCGGGAGGGGTGATGAATTGTATCTGGGGAGATAGGGTCAGCAGAGGGCCTCCGGGGGAGACACATTTGTGCACCCTAAGAGGAAGCTCAGGGAGGGGGGGTGGGAGCTGCCTACAAGGCCCAAGGTATGGAACGGCTCAGAACATTGTGACCCCAAGAGCTCAGTTTGGGTTTGAGGCTGCGGGGGGGCGCCCGAGCAGAGGGCCCCTGTGTACCTGGCTGGGGAGCTCTGCCCTTGCCCCTGGAAGGGATGGGTGCCTGGGTGGGGCGGGGGACAGGGCGTGGGTGGCAGGGCCAGGTACCTGGCCGCGCGCGGCTGGCTGGACGAGCTCGGCGATGGTCACCTTGCCCTGCTGCAGCCGCCGCTTCACCAGCTTGGAACAGCAGATGTTGACGGAGCTGAGCACGTGCCCACTGCTGTACTCCACGAAAGAGCGGCTGTCGATGACCAGCGGTCCCCCAGGTCCACCCCGCAGCAGGCTGGCCAGCTTCCTGGCATCCACCACCTTCCGAGGGAGCCGGTCCCCGGCCATGGTGGGGCAGTGGGCAGTGGGGAGGGGGTGAGCCCCGAAGCGAACAGGGGCTGCTCTGCAGGCCAGGGATGTGGCCTAGAGTTCGGAGGGACTGGGCATGGTGCCAGACCTGCAGGGAGAGGCAGAGGGTCAGCAGGGCTGCAGGCCCCCAGGGGGGCACCCGGCCAGCTTCCCAGGCAGGGCCAGCCTCCAAAGGGCCCATGGTGGGACCCAAGAGCACCCGAATGGTTGAGCCTGGCAGGCACCCACGGGGGCCCTTCCTCCCTTGGGGCAAATCGGCAGCCCCTCTGGCTCTATGAAAGCCAAGTCCCCAGACATCTAAGGTTAGTGAGGTGGACCACTGGACTGGGAGAGCGGTCACGAATGGTCCCATCCAGCACTGCACAGGCCACGGCGACATCCTCTCAGTGGGACAAGTCAGACAACTGGGGGAACTACAGAGGGAAGCACTGGACTGGACAGGCAGGACAGGCCTGAGGACCCCTCCCCTGGGCCCTTGGGTTCATGGACACTCATTCGGATCCGGAACCCTTCATTCGGCCCCCAAGGCTTCTGTCATCCCATTGCTGGGATGCAGATGTTCCCCCTCTCTGGCCTGCACGTCTTATTCTCCAGAACTCTGGGCGAGGCAAGGTCCAGAACCTGCTCCCTGCCCCAGCACATGGCCCTCTCCAGCCCCACCCAGCACAATCCCTCCCTGCCGACCATCTGGACCCAGAGGAAGGGGGGTGGGGCTGCCTCCCCATGTTGCTGGGGTCCTGGGGCAGGCGCCGGCCAAGGTGCTGCAGGGTCTTGGGCGTGGAGGTGGGGGTCCTCTGTTGCTGCCATTGTCCCAGTCCTGCAGCCCGAGCTTCAGTGCCTGCCACGTGCCGGCTGCACAAACGGTCTGGGGCCGGTGTCTGTCTCCCTGCGGAGCGCGTCACACGCTCAGAGTGGAGGGGGCAGCATGGCAGGGTGTGCCAGGCACGGTGCAGGCCTGAGGTCCGGGGGGACCTTTCTAAGGGCTGGTAGGGCCCAGGATGGGGTGGGATGGGTGGCACCCAAGGATGAAAGGCAAAGTAGGTGACCCAGATGTAGGACTCTTGGGGGTGCGGGGACTCTTGGCCTGGCTGTAAGGGATCTTGGCGGAGGAAGTAGGAGTAGATGGGGACAGGGGGACCCCAGATCCTGGGGTGGAGACCCCTCTTGTGGGTTTGGTGCTAAGCCTCTGCCACACACCTCCCACCCCCACCCCACCCCACCTGCCAGGCCCCACCTGCCCTGCCGCCTGCCAGGACTGGCCTTTCTTAGGCTCAACTAGCCTCCCAGCCCACAGGGAGGCGCACAGCGTGAGGATTATGAGTTTACTTTGAAGATGGGGAGACGGAGGCTTGGGGAAGGGGTGGGACCAGCCTCAGGTCACATCACAGTCAGGACCCAAGGCCTCTACCACTGCCATTCAATCGGGGTCTTCCCTCCACCACACCCCCACCCAGCTCAGGCACGGGAGAGGCTGGGGGACAGATGTCAGAGGAGGGGCCCCTTCATCAAGCCCCCAACCTGCAGCTGCAGAGCTCGTCACACTTGAGGCGAGCTCCCTGGGTGGGGATGGCGGAATTCACAGAGAACTAGGTGTCAGGCAGGGTGTAGACCGTGTCTGCTGGCTATGGGCAGCCTTAGGCTGAGCCACTGGAGCTGACCCACGGAGAAGTGCCCAGGATGGCCCTGGCCAGTGGGCAGGGCCTTGGGATCCCATTCACAGACTCCCTGCTCCCCACGCAGGTACCCAGGCTCCTCCACAGTGGGGGTGAGGCCTGGGGCGCAGCTGGGGATGCTGTCCTTCCTGAGGGCCATACCAAACAAGGTCAACAGCAGAAGGGCCCGTCTGCCAAAAGGGGTACCCCACATGCTGCGGGGGGGTCTTAACCTGCTGGGAGGGTCCTGTCTGTGGAGGGGGTTTCCCCACCTGCCTGGGGGTCCTCACCTGCTGAGGGGGGTCCCAGCCTGTGTGGTGAGGGGTCCCCAATTCGACTCCTGTATGAGGTATTTGAGAAGCTTCCAAGTTCTAAGCTGCACCTTGTCAAGACTGTGGCAGACAGGCCGCAGCTACCGGCCCCCTCCCACAAGCCTCCTGCCCTGGATGTGTGGCCAGGAGCCCCGCTCAGAGGCCCAGTCCCTGAGACAGATGCAGTGGTGGGCAGAGGGGCGCTCATGGTCCCTATCAGGTGAGGGCAGACTTTCCCACCTAAAGCAACAGAAGCCAAACAGCACTTCAGGGCAGGGACAAGGGAAGGGGCTGGGGGAGAGGTCCTTTGCCCTCCCTGCAGCCGCTGGGCACAAACACTGCCCTCAGGTCCTTAACTGGCCGTGAGAGGAGCTGGGGTGTGGAGGGGCGCCCGCTCCATCTGCAAGACAGGCAGGGAGGCAGACTCAGGATGAGGGTGGGGAAGAGGTCAGCTGGGCTGCAGGGCTGCAGGACAGGGGCGCGGGGGGCGGGGTGCTGGAAGGGTGGGCCGCCACACTCCCCTGCCCAGTACCTGGTCTCAGCCCCACTCCCCCAAGGAACTCTCCAGCTTGGCCCTATTACCCGCTGTAGTATTGTTATTTGTAGCCGAGGGGGACTCATTAGCAAGTTAGCACCTCCATCGTTGCCATGGCAACCACAGAGGTGCCAGGCAACCGCAGCTCCTGCGGCAGGGCCGCCGCCGCCAGCAGGCTGGCTCTGCAGAACGGCAGGGCCCAATCCTTGCTTCTTGCAGGTGCCCAGTAGCTGGGGCCTGGGATGACCCAAAGCCCAGGTGTGACATTCCTCCAGCACCCCCCCTGCCCCCCTGCCCCACCTGGCCCCAACCCTCCTTGCTTG